TCCGATTCTAAGTTTGATTTTTAGCGTGTGATTTTTCATCTATAATTAGTTAAAATTGATGCGTGCTGAAAAATTTTACGCATGCAGCCCTTCACAGCTCACCACCACTCGTTAAGTAGCCCTCCAGCCAAAATAATTGCCCACCCCTTTTCTAAACTCTCTATTCCACAGGTGTTAACAACCCTCTCTCCTTTTCAGTGGGTTTTAACAGCTTCTCTAATCCAGCTCTGTTGTGTTCTACAATTATGCTCGCTGCTCCTGGTAACTATGCTCCTATTTCACAGCCCTGCCGACTGCTTTTAGCTTGAGCTAAACACATTCCCTCTGGTGTGGAAATTACTTGCAGTGAAGCTCTGGAGGCACTGTCAAGAGGCTCAAGGAGGCTAGGTTTTGGTTTCTGAACCTGTACATGTAATTCTAATGACTTTGGGAGGAATGAGACATCTTCCAGTTATATTTGTCTAGCTTGTTTTTATACATCAAGAGAGGATATAGCGAATTAAATGCACATTCCAGTAACATTATATCTGTTTTTGTTTCATAGAATTGGCGAACAGGATGGCTGGAAGGGACCTCGGGAGGTCCCATCTAGTCCAACCAACTCCCTGCTCCAAGCAGGACCAGCCGCAACTACATCATCCCAGCCAAGGTTTTGTCTACCTGGGTCTTAAAAACCTCCAAGGATGGAGACTCCACCACCTCCCTAGGTAACCTGTTGCAGTGCTTCACCTCCCTCCTAGTAAGAAAGTTTTCCCTAAAACCAAACCTAAGCTTCCCTTGCTGCAACTTGAGACCAGTGCTCCTTTAAAGCACAACCTGAACAGTACAGCCTGAGGTGCTCTATTCTATTAATAAAGTTTCTAGTTTAATAGGAGAAAAAATGTGTGCTGTGGTCTATGCATTAATGCATTACACTGTCTCCATCCCCTTTTGAAAATCCTACATCCACCCATGACCTAGACCCACTAAGATGCCCCAGCCCCCACCAGGACGGGAAATGGGAAGCCCAGATCAGAAGCGATGTGCCCAGATTTCCCCATTGCCAGTCCCAAATCCCATCTTCCCTCTCCTCAGCCTCTTGCCTGCTGTCCCTTTGTCTGAAGCCCCGTGAGGGCAGGGGCAGCCCGCATGCGTAGCATGCAAGAGTTCGGGGAGGGGACAGGCAGCTCTGAGGCAGATGGAGCGAGGAGCAGAAAGCAGAGCAGCAGATCGGGTGGGGGAAGGGATCCGAGGGGCCTGCCTGCCAAAGAGCTGGGCCCGCACTGCCCCCGGGGTCAAACCCTTTGGGAGTTTCCCCTCGGGGCCTTTGGCCAGGTCAGAGCTTCTCATGGGAAAAGGGCAGGGGAGAAAAGCCTATTCAGGCAGAGAACAGACGTCACGGTGCTAAATCTGGAGCTTTCCCCCTCCCCTTGGCCAGGCTGCCTTGCGAGCATGAATGGGGCTTTCACCGCCTCCGTGAATGCAGCAGGGCAGCGGCCTCGCATTTCCTTACACCCCAGGGGATTTGCTTATCAAGGGGCTATTTTTTGTGGCCGAAGATCTGCTCCAGGCCGGGTGAGATGCAAAAGCAATGGAGCTGCAGCATGCCTCTTCCTAGGGGAGGGGGGGGACGACAACGATGGACCTAGTCCACCAGCCTGTCACCGCTCGCTCACATTCTCCAGTATCAGGTCCCTGCCTGACAACAAAGAGGCCGAGGGAGAGCTGGGAGTGCCGGGATCCACATGGCTGGCTGATCCTCTTTGTGTGAATGAAAGGGTCTTGGGGGCTCCCGCTCTGCTGGAAAGGTTAAAGGCCCCACAGGGCTCAGACTGTCTGGGAATACGGTCCCAGGCCGACGTGCTTCTGTCTGCAGACTGCAAAACAGCATCAGCAGAGAACTGAGGAGCAGGCAGTGCCCTCTGCCCAGGTAAAGGACAGCACTGCATGGGGTGGGAGACACCCGTGATGACAACTGGGAACAAGGTCAGAAGGGATTTTTGTTTCCAGTCCTGGAAGCAGCATATTCTTCACGCCTGGGGAGGAATTTCTGCATGCCATGGGCTCCGGGCCTGCAGCCCCTAATCCCAAGAGAAGAACCAAGGCCCCTTTTATCCCTGAGCAGAAACCTAGTCAGCCGTGTTAGTCTGAAGTCAAGTAGAAGGCAGGGTAGCTTTGCACATTATAGATATAGATCACAGCATCCTAGGGAAGTGGGGCCGGAAGGGACCTCCAGAGCTCACATCTAGTCCAAACCCCTGCCTGAGGCAGGACCAGCCCTGTCCAAACCGTCCTGTACAATCCATAATACAACGTATCGTCAAGTACAACATCACGCAAGACATCACACTTGAACCTGCCCCAGGGAAAGCAGGGGGACCGTGGCTGCCAGCGTCCCGCTGCTGTAACAGGTTGTTAATATTAATACACTCCGGAGATCCCAAGCAGAGGCCGTGCCCCCAGCTACAGAGAAAGGCACCCCTGTACCCCAAACTCCATACTGATCTGACAGGGGAGGGAAATCCCTTCCTGACCCCAATGCAGTGTCGGTCTGACCCTGAGCAGAAGGGCAAGACTCTCTACCCAGGAACCTCTGGCTTTGGTCCCAGCAGGAGCTTTAGCACAGCCCAGTCGTCATTCCCAGCCTGGGCTGCAGCCAGCACCGAGTGTGTCTGAGGAAGGCTTAAAAACACCCTGACACATAGCAGAAAGACAGAGGGAGCACCTAGCAAAGCCCAGAAGCATGAAAAATCCCCAGAGTGGAACATAGGCATCGCTACACCTAGATCATTCCTGACCCATGGCTGCCCAGCTCTTCTTGAACACCTCCAGTGATAGAGTCCACCCCTTCCCCGGGCACCCGTTCCACCACTTCACTATTGTAACAGCAGAGAAATTTTTCCTGAGATCCAATCTAAACCGACTTTGCCGCAACTTCAAGGCACTGGTCCGTGTCCTTCTCTCCGCAGCAGGAGAGAAAAGGTGGTTTCCCTCTCCTTCGTGGCATATAGATACAGATATATCGCGAGCTTCCACGAGCTGAAGCTCTGCCGCAAAAGGATGGGCAGAAAGCTGTGTATAAGGAGAGAGAAATGAGAATACAAGAGACAAGGGGGTTGAGGGGTGAGAGAAGCGCTAGGAGAGAACAAGCAAAGAAGCAGTAAACCCGTAGGAGCAAAGGAGCCAGCAAAGCTAACCCAGGTAGTGGGATAAGAATCCGTAAGCCCTGTTTTAACCAAGACAATTAGGGGTTTTTTACTGTTTAAATCAGACATTTAGTCTATAGTAGGCAACTGTTGATCCTGGAGACACAATCCAAAGGCCAGACTGAGTCCGGACGTTCAGCCCCTCGAAAGCTGTAGTTATGTGCACATCCAGGAATCAAACTCAGGCCTCCCATGTGATAGACAAGGAATCTACCACACAGCAGGTATTTAATCCAAAAAGGTGCGTAGAAACAGGAAGGCAGGGCCCTTTCACCCTTGCTTATAACTTTTTCTGCCATCACCCGCTGGCAATGCCCCTCTGCTGTCCGCACTGGCCAGACTGGGGGATGTCCATGTGGCAGAACGAGTGGACTCTGCTCCGATATCAGCTGCAGAAAGACGCACAAGCCCGTGACTGACACTGTAACCTCCCTGGACCCTCCATCACCGACCTGTGGGTAACTGTTCTCAGGCAGTAAGCCTTTAAAAACTGGATGAGATAGGAAATTGCAGAACGAGACATCAGCCGCAGTCCGGGCTGTGTTAAGCCTGGTGCAGAAGGCAGGACAGGAATTTACCCCGGGGTAAATCAGCCTTGGGGGGACAGCGTGATTTTTTTGTGGCGTAACTTTATCCCAGAAGAGATAGACCTGGGGTAAGTGCATCTGCACTGAGCTGAGAAGGTAGGGGGCTGCTGTGGCCTGGGCCCTGGAGCGGCCCGGGACAGCTCCAAGGCAGGGCGGAGGAGAAGGAAGCCTGCGTGAGGCCAGCGCACATGTAGCCAGAGATCCAGGCGGGGGAGAAGACTGCTGAGAGCAGGTTCTCCATAGATGGCAGGAAAGGAGCAGGTTTGTATCTTCGAGGAGAGAAGAATTATGTCTGCGAGTCCGGGCGGCTAAAAATACTCCCAGCAGCTCTGAGCCAGGCTGTAAATAAAGCGTTTGCTCTGGATTCCAGCAAGAACAAAGGGAAGGGGAAAGGCCTTGATGGAGCCTCCAGGACGAGCTGGTTACCCTGGGACAGGAGCATGGAGGGGCAGCATCTATATAGGACCACAGAGAGGTGTGCTCGGGTTACCTGGGGAAGCAGAGTGGTGTGAAGGCAGTGCCCACTTGAGGTATGGGGGAGTGGGACAGAGCAGAAATGCCCCCTTCCCTGGAGAACAGAGAGGCAGCACAGTGATGTACAGGCATTACACAGCATCCCTTTATGTTGGCAGCGATCCCTCTAGAGATGCTCACCATGTCCAGAAGCCATCAGCTTGGCAGTGCATAGAGAAGTGGGGCTGGAAGGGACCTTCAGAGGTCACATCTAGTCCAACCCCCCGCCCGTGGCAGGATCAACCCTGTCCAAACCATCCTATGTAGATGTATAATCCAGCCTCTGAGCAAAACAACCATCAATGCCGACACGGCACCAGATGTCACACCCAACACTGCCGCAGGGAAAGCAGGGGGACCGCGGCTGCCAATGTCTTGCTGCTGCAAAGGGGGTTAATATAGTCTCAAGAGATACTGGGTAGAGGCTGTGCCCCCGCTACAGAGCAAGACAACCCTCCCCAGTCTGCACAAATCTGACCAGGGAGTAAAATTCCTTCCTGACCCCAAATGCAGCATCAGTCTGACCCTGAGTGGAGAGCCAAGACCCTCTAGCCAGGACCCTCCAGCTTTAAGTCAAGGCAGGAGCATTAGCACAGCCCAGTCGCCATCCCCAGCCTAGGCAGCAGCTAACATCCAGTTCCCCTAAGGGAAGCTTATAAATCCCCCTGACAAATGGAGCAACGGGGGAAGGCGGGGAAGGACATTCCCTCCCAGCTCCACGAGACAACCAGCAGACAGACGGTGCCTTTGGGGCCAGGCCTGGCTGCTTAGTGCCCAATGAGTGGGCAAGGTCATTTGGGACCTATCCATGCCCTGTGCTTTCTACAGACCGTAGGAAGAACGAAGAGCGTGCGTGCTCAGCCCATCCCGGCCAGGAAGGGACCCAATACTGCAATGGATGGCATTGCGCTGCCTGCCGGAGAGGCTGCGGCCACCCTCAGTGCTCCCAGGAGAAGCCCTGCAGAGGACATGGCAACACAGCCAAGCCTTAAAACGCTGCTTCAAGCACTTAAAACCCTTGGGGTGACAAGCTCATTGCAATTTGAAGGCTGTAGCCAGCCCGGGCCAGTGCCAGACCCTCCTGGGTCACACCCTTGGGGCAGGCAGCTGGCTCCTATCCCTCTCCTACTCTCACACCAGCCAGGAGACGTCTGGCCTCCTGGAGAAACGCAACTGGATGGAAGCCACCGAGATGGCTCCTCGTCTCTGTGCCCCAAGGACAGAGCCCTTGCAGAGGGACCTCTCCCTGGGCTTCACGGCAGCTCCAGCTAAGATCTCTTTGCCGATTCTTCATCCCAGACCCGCTCCATTGGCTTGGCCTGTCTGAAGCTATATATAGCTGCAACGGGGATAGGATTGTACTGGGGGGGTGGAATGGCAAGCAGCTGTTCCCATTCCCCTGACATGCTCTCTCACTTCCCCCTCCCCAGCCCCCCAGAGGGGAGACTCAAATGTTCCACCACAACAGGAAGACTCTGGTTGGGAAATGAGGAACAGCTGCCGGAGAGAAGGAATGAAGCGGCGTCCAGGGAGGCCTGACTTCAAGCTCACAGGAAACGCAGGAGAGATTTCGCAGCCACTTTTTCTACCGTGCTCTGTTATTATTTCACAGCAGCCCCAGACTCCAGCCCGCCCTTCTGCCACGGGGAGGGGGGGCTTGGTAAAAAGATGCCTGGGACTTGCCTCCAAATCCCCGGCAACCTTTGTGCCCCTCGGCCTCTGTTTCCAGGATCCAAGCAAGCAGCGAGGAGCTCCGTCATGCCGGGGGTTGAGGGGCGCAGGTATTCACGCCAGAGCTGGTCTGGAGGATTTGGATATTGCTCTCTGCTCTGTGGCAGGCTGGAGCTGTCGCGAGACACGGGGTGGAGGCGACAGCAGGGCACAGCATGGAGGGGGCATTAGGGGCGCTTCCTCAGTTCACTGTGTCACTCACAGAAAATCCCCATTGTGATGAGCTGGAGACCCCTGTGTAGGCAGGTGAAGACGACAGACTTCTATATAGCCAAGAGGAAGCAGCAAGAGAGCTGGGGGCAGACTCGATGAGGGGCATCACGGTGCCAGGAGACCCAGGACCGAGCAGCAAGGAGCCTCAGAAGAGCCCTGGGCCCAGAGCGCGCCGGAAAGTGTTGCCCACTGTGCCATAGACCCAGGATCCCAGCACTCTCACCCCTGCCCTCTCTCCCTGCTGGGAAGGTGCCCCAGAAAGGCCCATTTTGGGTCCTTTGCTACCATCACTGAACCCATCTGCCCGGAGAACATAGTGCAAGTCAAGGACTTGGCTGGAACTAGCAGCTTCTTCTGCTCCTGGCCCAGGGCAAATGGGCATCTACCTGCAGGGAGCATGCAGGCACTCTCAGAAGGGAAGCTGGGGCTGCCCCCAACAAGAAGGATGGTCCTCCGGGCACTTGGCTCCAGTTCTGAGCTGGTGCTTGCTGTGCAACACTATGCAGACCATCAGCAGTGCTTGGCCGGGGGCCACAGGGGCTGAGCACATCTCAACGGCTCTGCACCTCCAACATCCACGTGGACCTGCCTCCAGGGTGGCAGGACCAGCTACCACAGCGATAGGGCCCCTCTAAATACCCAGAGCTGGGGACCCTGCAGGGCCCCGTGACTGAGACGGGGCAGCGAGAGCAGGATGGCTAGGCTAGGACTTCAGAAACGGAGGGTTCTAGGTTGTGGGGGGCTGCACAGAAGTAGAGAGGCTTGGGGCAAAGAAAGTTTGTGCCCTGGGTTTTCTGGGGGGTTACAGGAAGCAAGAAGCAAAACACCCGTGAAGGCTGAACACACCTTCCCTTCCGCCCTCGGTGCACAGGAGGGCACTTATCAGATCACCAGGAAACCACAGCTCTGCACTGCAGGTAGAGAGCCCCCACCCCACGCCTTGGCTGCTTCTGTGCCCTGCCCTGTCCAGGGGGGAGGTCTGGATTGCTAACAGGAGCTGAACACAGCTAGGCAGGTGCTTTCCAGTCCATTGGGCACCCCCAAGCCACTGCCTGGGTGCTCTCATATGCCAGTCTCCAGGCCTTAATGCTGCCCTGATGCCCAATGCCTCTCATAGGCCATGGCTAGCCAAGATGAGTACCACGCCAGTGCAGCTCTGACTGCCTTTTCTGTGCACAACAGTTCATGGCATCAGTCTGGGCAGGGCAACACAGCGAGGCTTCACATCTGCTTCCATGCCCAGGCACCAGGTAGCTGATGGCCATGCTACATTCGTTTCCAGCCGCCTTGCCACGGTCGTAGAGAAGGTGCCAGCTGCGCCCCGGGTCTGTCTCCTCCCATCTTTGTTCCCCGTCTGTTTTCGCTCAGTAGCTGGAACAGCAGCTGAGAAAAATGGTGGAAGCACCTGAGCAGCCACTGCTGGGGCAGATGGCACGGCAGTTTAACGCCTTTCCCGGGCAGATCACAAAGCTCGAGAGCCCAGGGAGGGAAAAGCAAGTAACCAACTCCCCCAGGTTCTCATCTGATGGGCCCTTTTCTGCACCCACCAGTCAGTGAGGCTTGAGCACGGCCTGCTAAGAGCTTTTTATCCACCCACTTGAGCCAGCGAGACTTAGGGCAACTAGCTTAATTTAAACGAACCCCTTGAGTCGACGAGTTGGGCTGTATCCATGGTGCTATCAGATGCTGGATTCAGCCACTGTACCTGTTCTCACAGTCTTGCCTCTAGCTTCCTACCCTCCGGGAGATAAATGCAGATGCCAAAGACAGAGAACGATAACAAGCCCCTTCATTTTTTTTCTTCGCATTAGATACCAATCTACCCCAAGCAAGCAAGAGGGCTCACATTGTGGTTTCAGCTGCTGATAGCACCCAGGCAGCCAGAGTCAGGTGCACAGCTCGAGAGACCGCACACGGCTGACGAGGGGCTGAGAGGCCTCGGTGGAGAGTGGAGAGATCAAGGTATTCATCTGTGAAGGCAGGAGCCCCCAACCGAGGTGCTGCCTTTGTGGCAATATTGCTCACCCCTCCCTGTCTAGCTTGCGAAAGCTGCTGGTTTTGCACCTGCTCAGCTTTGTCTCTGAAAAGCCATGCAAAGGAGGCTGCTTGTAGCAAAACTCAGCCAAAAGCAAGGGGATAGGCACAACCCCCGCCAAAAAGGGGCAGGTATCCTGCTGAAGCTCTTGAAGGAAATCACTTGAAAGTAGGTGTTCATGGGAAGAGGGACCTCCTTTCTGGAGACCAGGCAGTGGAAAACAGTGGCCAGGGGAAGCTACAGAATCCCTGTAGTGGGTTTGGGGTTAATTAGCTCGCTAAACAGTCCTTCCATGTCCTCTTACAGGCTCTCGCTGCCCCGAGGGCAGGAGTCAACACAGCATAAGCTGCATGCGGTCTCCGATGCCCTCACAGCCTCTCACACCCCGTGGGTCCTTTATATTTGCAGGCCAACTCTCAGGATAGCAGCAGTCCACTTGCGATCCCTGGGCTCCACCATGAGCTGGCCCACCAGTTCTCTTCCTCTTGGCTCTCTGCCCATCTCTAGCTCCTCTCCATAGGAGTTCAACTCCCTCTCCGTGGTGCCTTCCCCCAGAAATCTCTCCCCCTGGGTCCACTTCTTAGGAGCCTTATCTTCCTGCCAGCTAATTATCTCTCTCAGCTGGCCCTATTGCCTAGGCAGCCTGCAATCACCCCTTACAGCCACCAGCTGGGCTGTAACCCTTGCAAGCTTCCAGACTCCCCCAGGCTTCTTGAGTTAGCGACTGCTCCAATCCCCTTCATAGGAGGCTTTCAAGAGGAGGATGAATAGGAGTTTGGTGGAAGTGGTTGAGCAGTTGAGTTGCTGCATGCATGCATGCATGCATGCATGCAGGGGGGCTGTATCCAGGATTTTGAAACGAGGATTGAAGATGGTGAGGGCTATCATCCCATATAAAACAGCATACATTTGTCTCCAGTTAAAAATAAACCAGAAGCTTTACTAATCCACTCAGGTCCCAGGGCTGGATTATTCATTTTTAAGACTGAAGCAAAAACAAACCAAATTTTATTGGAGTGAGTTCAAAAGAATCTGCGGGGCTTCAAGTTAGGAGTTTCATTACCAGGAGCAGCGAACAGACAGCAGAACGACAGAATAAAGGGTAGCTAGATTGGTGGACCATCAAAACCATTAAGAAGGGATCACAGAGGCACAGAGAAATGGGGCTGGAAGGGACCTCCAGAGGTCATCTAGTCCACCCCCCTGTCTGAAGCAGGATCAGCCCTGTCCAAGCCTTCCTATACAATCTATCATCTAAACTCTTTGAAAGACTACCATCAACCCTGACACAACACAAGACATCACACCTGAACCTGCCCCACAGAAAGCAAGGGGACCGCAGCAGCCAACGTCCCGCTTCTATAGAAGTTTGTTAATATAATATACCCTCCAGAGATCCTCTGTAGTCGGCGAGCACGGCCTCTACCTGGGAAGGCAAAAACCCTTCCAGTCCGTACCAAAATGACTAAGGGGTAAAATTCCTTCCTACTTTAAGAGGAGCAGGTAACAGGCAGCAGAATGGCAGGACAAAGGCTAGCTTGACTGGTGAAACATCAAGACCATTAAAAAGATGGCATGCTAAAAGACCATTAAAAGATGGCTGTTGACATCTGTGGAATGAAAAGGAATGACAAATCACCCATGGAGAAGCTAGACCATGAGATGCAAGCTGCCCTGGCTTCATGGGGATGCTCACGGCCACGCAAGAGGCACACTGTGACCAAGGCATTGGTCATTTCCATCTGGGCTCCACTGAGCAGTGTGTCAGGAGTAGTGGCATATCCATAAGACCAGTATAAAAAAATTTAAAAAAATTACTGAGCACTGGTTAGTAATTCCCCCTCATCAGTAAGCCTCTTCAAGTTATCAAACCTCCTTGTTGAGCTCTTCCCATCTTAAATTCCAGAAAGCAGATCTTTCTCCTAGGGAAGGCAGGGATCAAGTCCGCTCCAGGCCCACCCGGCTTCTCTCCAAGATGCCGGCCAGAGGAATCGATCCAGCCAATCTGTTCCATACCACTGCCCACTTCGGCTCATCTCCCTTGTCAGGGTTGAAACTCAGCTGGCAACAGCTGCTTTGAAGCAATACAGGTTACTAATTTGTTGTTGGCAACTGTGTTTCACGTGGTCAGTCCTCGTGGGTTAGGTGAAAGGTGGCATTGGGGTGCGAGTGGCATTCTAATAGCCAACAGCTAATAGTCAAATCCTCTCCTGTAACAGGGTCCCACTCCAGGGGTGGCCTTGAAGCCCCTGGAGACCCCTCAGCCCTTGTCAACTTTGTTCTCGCTTGGCAATCCCACTTCCACTTTCCTGCCACAACTTGATGGAAATACGGTTTTTGAAAAACAAGGCTGCCCTTGGGATCCCCGAGTGAGATCTCACCCACTCCTGAGCTTAGGTCTCATTACTCATCACCTTAACAGCTAATGAGATGGGCTCCATCCTCCCCACTACCCACACCTATACCTTGCAGATGTCACATATGCTAATTACATCACAACCACCCCACGAGCTATGGGCTCCTGGCTGTTTGTCCCTACATCAACCCCTCTCTAGGCTATGGACACTCTGGCCCCCTCAGTCTCCAGCCACGGCCCTCTCAGCCTTCAGTCCTTCTCCTTAGATCTTGGCCCCACTCCTAGGTCAGTTGAGACCCATGGGCTCTCCAGCCTCACCAGTCTCTGGCTATGGCCCTTCTTTGCCCTTCCTGAGCCCTGGACCCATGCCTAGGCCAGTGATACCTATGAGCATCCCGACCCTACCTGCTCCCCAGGCCCTCCCTCTGCTCTCTTTCCAGGGCCTCTAGCCCCTGCTCTCTCTCTCTCTCTCTCCCTCTCTCTATGGGCCAGCTAGGACCTCCTCAGCTCCCTTTAGTCCCTTCCACAAACTCCCAGACACTCCCCACCCCAAAGCTGCCAACCCACAGTCATACTTGGCATGAGCCAATGTCACTCTTGCCACCGCCTGCTCAAGAGCTCCTTCCCTATCAGCTCCCTGGATGAGACTGCCTCCTTATACCAGGCCCTGGGCTTATATATCCCTAAAGCCCCTCCCTTTCTGGTCAGGTGACTTCCTTGATGGCTGCCTAAGCTTCTTCTAGAGAGCCTTCTCTTCTCTTAAAGTGACAGGCATGCTAAGTGCCCTTTCACACCTCCCTAGTGATGGAAATATTGCCAGGCCTTTCTTTTCAGGCTCTGAATTCACCTGGGAATCCTGGTTCCTTTTAGTCATCTCTGTGGCAGAATTTTTGGTTCATCTCGGACATTTTTTACCCTTCCCCACAGGTCGTCATCTCTTCCCCGATGTGCGCAGTGAGTGCCCACGTCTGTGCCCAGGCTGCCAGGAGGTAGAATGACCCCATGTGGAAAAGTCAGAAATACACCTGGGTTCTCTGGAAACCCGTTATGGAGACTGCCCCCTCATCCTGCAATACTCCTGCCAGCTCTCATACGCCATGCCAGGGACTGTATGACGGGTGGGTCCCAGAGGCGCCCAGGCTGCCGGGATGTGGTTGAGACTGGGACAACTCATTTCACTGCTGAGCTGGGCAAGGCAAAGCTTGATCTGGAAGCACTTCAGACCTCTCAATCAGCACCTTCAGGAGGGCTGGGGGGCATTGGATGTGCAGCTCTAGGTTTTCATGCACTAGCACAGGAAAGGGCTTAAATCCAAAGGCCACAGGCTCCCCTGCTGCCTCCCCCTGGTGTCACTAGCCATAGGGATTTTCAACCCTGCTGTATGCAATAGAATTTAGATAGAGCTCACATTCACCTGAACATCTCTCTTTATAACCTTAGGGGAAATGCATGCAGGGGGTGGGGAGCAGGGAAACCAGATCTGCCCTTTGCACAAATCCCCACCAGCAGTTGGACTCGATCAGACCAAAGGTACCGAAACCCCAGGACTCTGGACAGGAATCTGCCTGGACTCTCGGACACAGAAGACATTTCCCTTTCTGAACACTGCTGTGGCCAAGACAAACAACGGAAGGAAATTTCAGTCAGAGCCTGTTGAAGGGATCCAGTGCAGATAGATAAGGGCAGGTCAGGGGCTGGAAGAAGGGCGGAGAGAGAAAGAGAAAGAAAGAAAGAGAGAGAGAGAGAGAGAGAGAGAAGGAGAGAGATTGTGTTAGGAGGGCTCCCCCATGCCAGAGGTTTACAGTCCCTCTGGGTCTGTCCAGTGGGTACAGACAGGGTGGTAGGTGGTCTTGCCTAGTGGTTAGGCCACTGGGAAAGAGCAGAAGATAGAATCCAACTCACCAGATCCAAAGAGGGGGGATCCAGAGGCAGAGTCCAGGTCACAAGCCAAGTCACAGTCCACAGACCGACTTACCAGATGGAAAGGCTCTGACCCAAAGGCCAAGAGTCCAGAAGCAAAACCAAGCAGGGTCCGAGACCAGAAAACCAAACAGTACAGGACCAGGGAGGCTCACCGCAGCAGACCTCCAGTGCAACTGGTGGCTGGCCTGCAGTCTGCTACCACAGCTGGACTTCAATGCAGGGGGCTGCTCTCCCCAGCAGCCAGCTCTGAGACTCTGACAGTGGCCAGCTGGTTCATCAGCCAGGGCAATTAGCTCTTACACACTGTTCTTAAGTTATGGGGTTCAAGTGCAGCAAAGACGTTGCCTTCCAGATGACAGAGACCTATAGAAACTAAATGCAGGCAACCGGAGGATAAGGCATACGACCGATGGGAGCGGACGGAGATGGTGGCTGCAGCCGAGGATCTCTAGGGCCTGCAGTGCTGACTGACAGACTAACAGCTGGAAGGAAGCAGGCAAGCAAGGAACTACTTTCAGAGGCTAATGGCTACAGGAGCTGCAGAGCCATGGCAGTGAGTCCTGCCTCATTAGGGGAGAACAGGCAAAGTCAGGTATTGTTTTTCCAGCTCTTGAGCTCCATGGGAGTAAGGGCTGTGCTGCCAATGGTCCTTCCAGCCTGTGCAGAGATGATGGGAGGGCAGAGAAGTGCCTGAGCTGGCTGTGCCCAGAAGACCAGGAAACGAGGAGGACAATGTAGCCTTAGGGAGGAACAGCTGTTGATGGAGACTTGAGTCTCAGGAGCCATTCACTGCCCTCCCTTTTGTGTTGCCAGGGACTGATACATCCACAGCACCTGTCCAGCCTCCAGCAGCAAGGAGGTCCTGCAGGGACTGGTTTGTGGTGGGGAAGGGGCAGTGGGTCAGCAATCAGTGTAATGACCAGCTGGTGTGAGGACCTCCCCTGTAGGGTGTAGCAGGATAGATGGCTGTATGCATGCAGCTTTGCTCTTAAAATCCCTCTTCAGCCTCTACCTTCACCTTCCCCAGGTGGTCAATCTGCTGAAATGCCAGGGTCAGTACACAGGTCCCCAAAACTTCCCGTGAGCCTGAGATCAGTCTTCAAATCCCTCAAGGGTGGTGACAGACAGGACCGAGATGGGCTTCTCTCTGTGGTCACAGGGGACAGGGACAAGAAGTAAAGACCTCAAGCTGCAGCAGGAGAAACTGAGGTTGGAGAGGAGGAGGAACTTCCTGACCACGAGGGTGGCCAACTCTTGGAACAGGCTGCCTAGAGAAACTGTGAAATCTCATCCTTGGAGGTTTTCCAGAGCAGGTTGGCTGGGATGGTTTAGAAAGGACTGATCCTGCTGATAACATTTAATGGCTGGAACTGCAAAAGAGCTTACGGAAATAACAGAATGGATGCATAAAGAGATATGGAATAGAAATGAGTGCAGAGAAGAGCACAGTAACGGTAACATCCGCCAATAGCAATGAGAACGTGTCAGTAAAAACTGGTCTTAAGAAGCTGGAAAAAGTCTCACACTTTAAATACCTTGGAGCAAGCATCCCAGAAGATGCTACATCAGGAAAAGAAGTAAAAACAGGAACAGCCATTGGACAACTAGCAAAGCTGAAGAAAACCTGGACTAGCAGCAACATCACAATGAAAATGAAACTGTGCCTACTATATGCCATTGTCATTTCAACAACTCTCTATGGCTGCGAGACCGGGACACTCACGAGAGCTTTGGAAAAGCAAATTGAGCCCTTTGAAATGCAATGTTTCAGAAGACTTCCCCACGTGCCCTACACTTCGCACAGAACAAGCGAATCTGTAAAAGATCAAATCAGACAAAAAGCTGGCAAATATAAACCCTTACTTGAAATCATAAGATGCAAGATGCAGTGGTTTGGACATGTAGCAAGGTCTGGCACTTTTGCCAACACCATCCTGCAGGGTGCTGTGGATGGGTGAAGAAGACGACGACCTAGGATAAGCTGGACCACCAACATCAAAGACTGAACAGGATTCAAACCGACTGATTGTACAAAGATTGCAAAAGACTGGGAAGAATGGAGGCAAGTTATTGCCACATCAAAGGTGCCCCAACGGTCCATGCGTCTTGGGACTGACTAATCCTGCCTTGATCTCCCGAGGTCCCTTCCAGCCCAACTTTCCTACAACCATGAACCCGGATTGCTGCTTCCTGGCGTGTTACTAAGCCAAGCTGGGTAAATAAGCTATCCCCACCCAGGCCAGGCAAGGTTAGGTGTTCACAGCTAGGAACCTTCCTTAAGAGAAGCAGAAACAGACCCTGCAGCTTGCCGGGATGAGTCACAAGCAGCCTGGACCGGGAGCACGGAGGAGAGGCTCTCTCCACATGGCCCACACAGAGGACAATTCCCTGCAGGGGCTTCACTCAACCCACACCCACTTGGCACTGTTAGAAGCGGATGCGAATTGTTGGGCAGGGGAAGCCATTTGCACTGCACTCGGCAAGTTTTGTGGCGCTTCAACCCCCTCCCCGGCCTGGGCTGCGTGTTCGCCAGTGCCACCTGCTGGCACCTTTATCTACTAACCCCTTCCATACCTGGGCAAGCTCCTCATCCTGGCATGAATGAATCTCTCCTGAAGGCTTTTGAGTTTTCCAGGCCACCTCCCTGCCCCTCCACCTGCTGTGGTCTTATTCCTAGCTCTGTCCTTCCTTCCTGGCCACCATCTGGGGATTGCTGTGCTGTTTGATCCCCCGGAGAGGTGTGAATTTTCATCGCAGTCACTGCCAGCCTGTCCTGAAGCCCATCACGCATGGAAGATCCCATGCGGACCATCCTCTGCTTCGTGACACCCTCGTGGGATGCCGCCTGAAGACGCAGCATTCCAGCGTCTCTGTACGACCCTCTCCATTCATCCTCCTTGCCTTTGCCATTAGGGTCTGGCTATAGCTAGGCCCTCCTGGACCCAAGGCAGTTCTTTTGGTGGCATTTTCACTGGGCTTGTAATTCTCACAGTTCATCTGTGCTGTCACCCCTTCTAATGCTGGCTTCAAACAGTCACTTTCTGTACCACCTGTGTGTAGCAGGACATACGACACTTTTTTCTAGGCAGCTGCCCAAGGCTTTTGGTGGTGGAGGAGGACGTGACCCTGGCCCAGTAACAGTATCCATTGGCCTTTATTGGGTGTCCCTTATATACAGCTTCCATTATATAGGCCAATATAATGGAAGATATATGCAAGTGACACCAAAGGCCTCGCTACTCTCACACGAGAGCAAATCAAGAATTAGACTGCTCTCGACAAACGTAACCCCAACCCCCTCGGTGCACTCACTCTCACCCAGCCTGTCACTACATGGCTGCCTACTGTTTGCTCCTATGTGAATACATGCATCAGAGGGTTATTTTTCACCCTTGGAAGCACTGAGTGCTGACTGCAGCCCAGGCTGGGGGTGGCGACTGGGCTGTGCCAGCACTCCTGCAGGGACCAAAACCTGGCCCTGGCTAGACGGTCTTGCCCCTCTGCTTAGATTCAAGCCAAAGCCAGATTTGGGGTTAGGAAGGAATTTTCCCCCCTAGTCAGATTAGTACCGACTGGGGAGGCGGGGGAGGGGGTTGCCTTTCTCTATAATAGTGGCACAGCCCCTACCTGGGATCTCTGGAGGTTGTATTAACAACCTGTAACAGCAGCAGGACGCTGGCTGCCGTGATCCCCCTGCTTTCCCTGGGGCAGGTTTAGATGCAATGCCTTGTGTTGTGTCAGGGCGGACAGCAGTTTTACTAAGCAGTTGGATAATGTATTTGTAACGCGTGGTTCAGATAGGGTTGATCCTGTCTCAGGCAGGGCATTGCACATGGAAGTCCCTCCCGGCCCCACTTCTCTAATCGATTTCTGTGTCTAGCTGGGAGCTGCCTACCTGGTTCCAGTCTTAGGCCAGGTTGTTTCTCCTCCCAGCTGCTGCCTGCCCTCAAAGGACGGGATCCTGCACCCAAAGTCGGCTGCTGAACTACATGGGGAACACGGTAGGAAGGAAGAGAAATGTGCGAGCTACCTCAGCGCCCCCCAACCCAGCGGCAAAACTGAGGGCAGCCTGGATTCTCAGGAACTTCAAATCCTCCAGGTTGCCAAGGTCAATCTGGATCAAACAGCTGCTGCTGCCCAGGCTGAAGTAGAAGGCATCACGCCACCATCATCCCCATCAGCTGTAGACAGAATAACCCTACCCTAGGGTTAAGCTAGCCTGGAGATGAATGCTGCACTACCCAAGCTTTGAGGCTGGTCCTGAGTCTGGATCTGTCAGCATCTTCAGCCCGGGATCGAGCCCTGTGTCTCTGGAGGGTCCCGGCCTCCCTGCAGGGCAAGGCTCTGCCTTTATCACAGGATCAGAACAGTTGGAGACAGTTGAGTGTCTCCCTAATCGCCGGCGCAGAGGAAGGCTTTACTCCCACAGATAAGGGAACCAGGACAGTTCGTTGCTATCAGGGCTCCTCCTGCCAGGGCCCACGGACGTGCCCTTTGGCTGTGAGGTGGCAAGGCGGGCACAGAGGCTGGCAAGCATGTGGGTTTCGGTCAGTTAACCGCAGCCCCGCCCAGTCTTCTCGGGTGATTGTTTCCCTAATGTTGTTCTCCTCCTGCCTGCCGAGCCCTCATTTCAGCTTCGCTGGCTCATTCGGTGGAGCAGCATGTAGCAAACCGAAGTGGCCATGTGGAGATCTCTGCGAGAAGGGCATGAGCTTTAGGGGGCACGCGGAGTCTGGGGGCAGCATATCAGAAGGGCACATGCTGTAGGTGCCAACCACAAACGAAGCAGCATCAGAGGGTAAAGAAGAGGGCTATCTGCTCAGCTGGCTGCTTCAGGTTTTGACATCCAAATGTTCTCATGAAGTCAGGGGTGCAGCCGGAGCATGGCCGGGAGCCACGGACTTGAGCATTTTGGGGGAACAAGGAGCTTTTCAAAGCACCTCTGCAGTGTGTCCTGGCTCAGAGCTGCTGCACGAGGGACCTCACAAGTGTTTAACCCCCGGGCGCAAGGGGGGAATTCACCACAGCTCTTCACAGGGCATCTGAATTCCTCCAAATTGGAGTTTCCCAAGGTCAAAAGCATTTCCATCCCGAGGTGACACTGGTGGGACCAGCCTGCGAGGGCTGCGCGATTGCTCCCATGGCATCTGCCAGCCAGTGAAGGCTCATTCACTTGGGGAACGCATTGCTAACAGCTACTGTTGAACAGCTCTCCTGCCCGCCTGCAGCGTCCTTTCATTGCAACTTCATTCATCCGAGCTTTCCCTTCGTGCTGCTGTGGGCGTTCGCTGGCCCCGAGTGTGCCCGGCCCCACGGAGCAGCAGTGACACCCTGTGGCAGATCAAGACAAGACACGTGGCTGTATAACCAGCCCCTGGAGCTGTATCATCCAGCCCACAGATCCAAACATTCAGCAGAGAAGTGGTGGCATTGGGAGCCCCGTGCACCATCTAGCATGGCCCTGTATGCTGGATTGGGCCTCCATGCCTCATCCTGGCACATAGGGGCCAACCGAGGTTGCAAAGGGCCCTAAATCCAGGGCCCAGTCCTGGAGCACAGGGCCACAGGGCCAAACATTGGAGCACCACTGCTGTATACCGTCACCATCCCTTCAGATGCCCATCAAGCAAGGCCTTCCTGTGATGCTCTCCAGGGTGTTACCGACTCCAGGCCCAGTTCCCAGTTTCCCCGCCTGCCCTGGGTTTTCAAACCTTCTTCAGCACCAAAGTCAAAGCAGTCTCTTCCCTCCCCATGCATTAGCAGGGAGAGATGTTCCAGGACCAAGGGAGGAGTCCCCACAGGGGGACGGGAGGGACAGAGGCCGGGGAATGGGTTAGGGCCCATGTTTGCCAGGGACGGGTCTCAGCACCTAGTCCTCTCAGCAGCACTGAGGCTGTCAGGGCCTCAAGGCAGCCCTTGACCAGGGAGGAACCACAGTGACCCAAGCACGAGACCCCAGCCCCATCTCATCTCACGCGGCAGCAGCTCCTGGCAGCCAGAAATGCAGTTCTGAGCAGAGCTCCAAACTTCTCCTCCCAACCAGCCCACACCTGAGATCTGAACCTGGCTGAGCCCAGGGAGCTACTGCTCTTGGAGAGGGGAGGCTGGGAGAGGGGATTGCAGCAGCTTGCTTAGCCTGCTGGCTTCATGTCCTGCAGAGCTCCCCATTCTTCCCAACTCCAGTGCAGGCTTTGAGCTGCAAATGAACATGCAAACAAGCAAAGACGACCCTCATGCCCCCCTCCAGACACTAGCAAGGGAACCCCTCTGCCTCTGACCCCAAGCACAGCAGCCTGGCCCCTCACTGTATCCAACCGTTCTACTCGCAGCTGGCTCTGTCCCCGCGAGCTGCTCTCCTCTGGGTTTTAAGCTCCCAGGGGGACAGACCTTTAACAGAAATCCCTACAGCTGCAGGTGCTTCACAGGGCTGGCTGCCCATCCTGTTACAGGAAGTCTCTAACACAGAGATGTTACCCAGGGTGAGTCAATGCCATGCCATGCTCCCACCCCAGATGCGAGCCAGTGATCTGGGTCAAGACCGTCATCAGAGGCCTCTCTCAGGCATGCTGGAGACCATGTTCTTGAGGATGGTAGTAGAGACACACCTTAAGGCAGATCTGAAGCACGCCTGGGGCTACTGCTGAGTAGAGGTTTCCTAGTCCCTCCTGCTGTCCTGAGATATGGCTTGAGTATACTCAAGCCATCCATGACAGATATTTGCCTAACCACATCTTAAAAATCTCCACTGGGTGTGGGCAGCTTGGACCCTGTGATGGACCAGGGCAGGTCCCCTCACACATCCTGAGACTTAGGAGCCAGCAGCTGAGGATGAAGGTGCCCAAGTCTCCTGCTCCTCCACACCCTACTGTTTCCAAGCCCAGGCAGTCTGAGCCACTCGAGGCCTTCCTGGCAGACCAGGCCCTGCCTACAGATGTCAACCATGCCAAGGAAGTGAGGTCTGTCACACCCAACACTTAGCTTCTGTTGGGATAGATGGGTGAGGGGACAGGAGGCCATAGGAGACCCCAATCCTCATTGCTTGAGTGGGAGCACATCCTGCTGGTGCCATGGCAGTGCCAGCACCCAGGACACCCTGGGACTGAAATCCTGGAGCAGCAGGGCTGCCCAGGCCCTTGGGAGATCCCATCCAGGCTCAGCCCCAGCTGAAGTCTTCCAGCCAAGTGTCTGTCCAGCCTGCTCTTGAAGACATCCAGGGGTGGCCATTCCCTGCCCTGGGCTCCCATCACAACCAAACCCCCATAGAGATAGAATGTTCTTCCCAACTCCAGCCTTGTGCCCCCTGCTAGCCCAGGCCCCTGCAGCCACAAAGAAGCACCTTTCTCCTTCAGGGATTAGCAGCCTGTTCTCAGATCTCCCCCAACCCTCAGGCTTCCCCCTCTCCTGACCCAACTGCAGCTCTTCCACCTTTCTCCTCCCGGTGCCCCCGAGCCTGGCTCTGCTGGGGGCTGGGCTCCATCAGCTCCCTTGATTGCTCCTGGTTGACCCCAATTTCCCTCCATAGTAAGCCACAGCCACCCCAAATCCACAGCAGCTGCTATTACATCACTATGGCAGTAGGTGGCAGGAGTCACTCATAGCAGACACATGGCACTTACCCCAAAGTAAGCTGCGGGGGAAAGGGGTGGTAACTACCATGGGAACGCAGCCTAGAGATGAAGCCCCAGGAAATTCAGGGCTAAACAGAAGCATGATTCCAGCCCCCAGTACCCACATTCGCCAGCCCCTCCCTGTCCTAGCTTTCCTCCCCGCAAATAAAAGTCTGGTGCTAATAACACTAAGGTTACAGATTCGATCCCCGGTTGGACTAGACAATCTCCTGCAATCCCTTCCAGCCTTACTTCTCTCTACCTGGCCCAGGAGGTCTTTAGGCTGACAGCAGAGGACCCGGTTGCTCCCCCTGCCCAGATCAGCCTGAAGAAAGCAAAAGGGTCCAGCTGACAGGAAGGGGTAAATGGGGGGTGGGAGACCAGGCTGGTTCAGCTCTGGACTCTTGCAAACCTACTGATTGCTGTATTAAGTTGTTATGGAAGTTGTGGAGCCTCGGCCTTGAGCTAGAAACACCCAGAGCAAATACCCCCTGGGGCCGGAGTCCAAACAGGGCCGGCACCTGGGACAAGTTTCATAGTTTATAGGGTTGGAAGGGACTTGAGCAGATCTTCAAGTCCGACCCCCTGCCATGGCAGGAAAGAGCACTGGGGTCAAACGACCCCGGCAAGGTGTTCATCTAGCCTCCTCTTAAAGACCCCCAAGGTAGGAGCCAGCACCACTTCTCTTGGAAGTTGGTTCCAGATCCCAGCCGCCCTGACAGTGAAGAAGCACTTCCTGATAGCTAGTCTAAATTTACCCTCTGCCAGCTTGTGACCATTATTTCTTGTCATTCCTGGTAGTGCTCGGGTGGAACAGGGACTCCCCCGTTGCCTGCTGGTCCCCCCTGACTAGTTTGTAAACGGCTACTAGATCCCCCCTCAGCCTTCTCTTGTGGAGACTGAACAGGTTCAGGTCCCGTAGCCTCTCCTCATAGGGCCTGCCCTGCTGCCCCCTGATCATGCGGGCGGCCCTCCTCTGGACCCTCCCAGAACTGGACGCAGTACTCCAACTGTGGCCTGACCAGTGTCGCATAGAGGGGGAGGATCACCATCTTGGACCTGCTTGTGGTGCATCTGTGGATGCATGACAAGGTGCGGTTGGCCTTCCTGACTGCGTCCCCACACTGTTGGCCCATGTTCATTTTGGCATCAATAGTGACTCCAAGATCCTTATCTGCCTCTGCACTGATGAGAAGGGAGTTCCCCAGCCTGTAGGTATGCTGCTGGTTCTTCCTCCAAAAAATCAAGCACCCACTGATCTCCAGCTTCCAAACTGCAACTGCAGTACTGAAAGCCTGAGGGTGGTGCGGCTTGCTGGGAGACCTTTTCCCTGCCTGCCTGCGGCTTCCCAGAACAAAGCCACGTATAGGCTGGATAGGAGCTACAGAACTCCAAATTGCAGCACCCTTCCACACACAGGAGCCAGTGCCTACTGCTCTGCTAGGCTTCCAGCTCCTGGGGCTGGAAACCCATGCACAAGCTGTCTCTTGATAGAGGCAGCATGGGATCAGCATGGCCTGTCTCACGGGAGGAGAACAGGGGTTCTGGATGTTGCAGGTGATGGTGCCATGCTGCATCTTGCGGGCAGAATCTAAGGTCCTCTTGGCAGAGGCCGTAAGTCATGTGGGGAGGGCAGAGGCAGCCCAGATACACGTGCCACGTGTTTGCAGCCTCTGTTCCACTGCCCCTACCGGAGAAATAGCCTGCATCTGCCAAGGCATCAGTGCCACGGGAAGGGACACAGCATGTATCAAGGCACATTCTCCCTGTACATCCACAACACAACACCCTTCTGCTCGGGGTTCTCTCTGGTGGGAGTCAAGAGACTAACAAAGGGGCTCGTCTTTGTGAGAAAAGCATGTGACAGGGGAGGATCAGGGCTGCTAAAGGTGACAGAGGCAGGAATAAAGCATCATTATCCCCAAGCCCCAGCCCCTCAGAGACATGGATCAGAATCAGGTCGACCTGCATTATACCAAACACCTATTTACTGGTGCTTGCTTTGTCGCCAGCAGCTGTGCAATCCCACAGACTGGCTCTGCAGAGACCCCCCTTGGACCTTGCAACGTCCCTTGGTCAGACCCCCATGAGGGAGCAGGCCCTGAACCAGCCTTAAACCCCCTGGGCTGGGGGTGAGGCGAGGAGAGGCATTGCATCCTCTTCCTGAGACTCCTGGGCTCCCGGCAGCTCAGCAGCTTCCCCACATTCAAAACGCACGAAGTCCAGCACAGATACGCCATGGGGCTGCACGTACTGGCCCAGGCTGAGGTTAGGCTCCAGCAGGAAGGGCTGAGCCAGCATCTTCGTCTCCGTGTCACCCCCAGGTTCGTCGTCCAGGGTCCCCAAGGACAGAGGTGCCATGCCCACGACGTGCTGCCCCAGCTTCCGGCCCATATCCACCAGGTTGGTGCCTGGGCTATTGGCTAAAGCCTCACAGATCACCAAGGCACCGTATTTGCCCAGGGCCACCTTGATCATGGAGGGACCATCTGTCGGAAGAATCCCGTGGACGTAGGAGCCGACGTAGCAACCAGAGGGCACGGCCACCCAGGCGGCTCGCCTTAGCACCATGTTCTCGCCCAGCTTCCCTGCAAGGAGCCAAAGCAGAAGCAGGTCTCACTGGGCTGTGATCAAGACAAGCTGGGGGCAGCCGTGCTCTCTCCAAATGCATGCTTCCGAAAGGAACCTGGGTGGGGGAACAGCAGTTCCCCAGCAGCCTCACCTCAATTTCAGGGCTGCTGCTGGAGGCAGAAGGAGATCTGAGAACAAGGGGTGGCACCGCATGAAAGGCAAAGCTCCCAGCAAGCTACTCCTCCAGCCCCACAGCTCTGGGCACCCCCAGCTCCAGAAAGAGCCCAGTCTTTCCCCTGGTCCTAAAGCTACGTGCTAAAAAGGCCTGCACTGTTTCCAGATACCAGCTAGCTCCTCCACTTGCCACCTGAATCTTTCCTGGGTATCTAAATATGGAAAAGCATCCCCAGGGAAAGGGTCTAACTAGCTCATAAGGAATACCAGGGCATGCTAATTACCATATTTTCTGCATACCATGCATTTCCTCTCAAAAAATTGTAAACAATAGTGTGCATCATATATGAGAAATACAGTACGAGTTTTGGTCAGTTTTGGGCAAAAGTGGAAGTAAAATCTGCACTCAGGAAGCAGAACAAGGAGCTGGCTTAGCTCCCTGGTGGCTGCTACTCAGTTACTTACTACAATAAAATATCTTTTCCCCCTTCATTCTGCCTTTCAAAAACAAGGTACATATTATAGCCTGGGCCATGGTGCCTCAGATAACACCTGGTCTGTGGTAGTCCTAATTGTAAGTGCCCCATTTCCACCCCCTAGCCAGCCATAGGCACTAGGCACTCACCTATAGCCAGGGCCACCTGGTCACTCAGAAGCCTGCCTTCAGGCACGGTCCTGAGCTGGGAAAGATCCTCTGCCTTCAGGAAGCGCTGAAATAGGGATGAGAAAATACCCAGTTATCAAGACAGAGCAGGACACACGTCTCTGACCTTGCAGCCCTGCCCCATCTCACAGCCAAGGCCAGACACCAGCCCCTGAATATGCCCCTCTGTGATGTCCGCAACCTGTCCTCAACAGGGCCACCTGATGGGAAAGGAGGCGCTTTGCTGGGACAGCTCCCAGAGGCTGAAGGATTGTGGTGGTATTAGGAAGCCTGTTGGGACTGCTGCAACTGGAGTGGTTTGAGACCAGACCATGCAGAGACAGCACAGAGAGTGCAATGGAGCAGAACTCTCCAACAGGGGCTAGCTGCTCCCATTAAGACTCTGCAGCCTGGCTGCTCCGTATAGCAATTTATAACAAGGACGGATGGATGGACAGATAGCCCAGTGACCAGACAGACTCCCACCACACAGGGGACTGAGCCTGTGGATCAGCTCAGATCCCCACTGGCAGTGCTTGCACTTCAGGGGCAAAGCTCCCAGCTGCTCTGGCCATGCCCAGAACTGCATGGATCTCAGCAACGCTGAGCAGCTGAAGGGACTCCAGTCTCCACAGCCCAAGCTAGGCAAAAAACAATGAGTAGGAGGCAGCTACCAGGAAAAGGAACATAAATGCATCAGCATCTGCTCCAGCAAAGAAGCTGGAACCCACATGATGCCCCTCCCAGGCAAATGCCCCTAGTCAATCATCACCCACCTGGTGGGAGTGTCGTGGATAAACGAGTCACGTGGTGCAGCGATCAGACACTCGGTCTGTGCAAACCTGCTCTTACCTTGACGTATGTCGTGAGCTGTTTCCCAGCATCCTGATGGTGGGCCATGATCCCGACTGCCACTTGCTGAACCAGCTGGTGGAACCTGGCGTTCCTGGCCACAAAGTCCGTCTCACAGTTCACCTGGCAGAGAGAAGAGATGACTGCGTGCTTTAAAGCTATGTAAAGGGGGATTTCAGCAGGCAGTGCAACTGCAGGGGCTGGGGGTCAGTGCCATGATGGGACCAGAACAGGCCAGATGTCCCCGAGATGTCCATGAACTTGGGGAGGGGGAACAGGCCAAGGTTTACTCCTGTTCAGGAGAACTGTTTGGGATCATCAGCGCTAGCTATTTTCCTGCTAACTGGAACTTCACATGACAAATCTGTGCCACGTATTAAATACCATGTTCTCTCACATACAACACACCCCTGAATATAATAAACACCTGATTTCTGAAAGGCAGAACAAAGTGGGGGGAAAAGGTTTTCCAAGACTTATGGCTGCACAGAGCAGGGACAGAGCCTCATCTTCAGCTGACCTGCTCTCTCTTTCCCGTTTAACTGAAGCTGAAAACCTGGCTGCTCCTGAAGGCTGGCCTCCATGGGCAAACCTATGATTTTGAAAAGGGCTGAAGAGTCTCCAATATTAGGAAACAAAATGAGGGAGAGCGAAGCAGACAGCAAAGTTACCCTACGAAAGGTTAGCCCAATTAGTGGGGCATTAAGACCATTAAAAAGGAGACATTAAGTTAATCGACTCCCTCAGCTGCCTGAGGAACAGTTTAAACAGCTGCTGCACAGTACGACAAGAATCAAAGCAGGGCAAAGAAGAAAAATCACCAGATAGAAGCACCAGATCCCTGCTTAATATGCACACCCCAATTGGGTGGGGGTGGTGTACTGATTTTGGGGAGGGGCAGAGGGAAGGTGTGTGCTGTATCGAAGAGAATAGGGTAAGCTAACCTCCCAGCTGTGAGATCTGAGTGTGAGTGTCACAGGGAGCTACAGGGGCCAAATAAAAAACTGTGGACTAACACCAGTGCTGGTACATCCACTTCGCAAGTTCACGTGCGGGGGGTACTTACCTCCACCATCACAGCTGCATTCCCCTCCTGCAGCACTCCAATGAGCCCTTCTTTCGCCTTCCTGCCCTGCAGCTTGGAGGCTTTGCTCCATCCTTCCTTCTGGGCTTGCTTGTGGAGCCAGACTTCAGCCTTTGAGGACAAAACCAAGCAGTCAGCTCAGCCCAGAGCCCTATGCTTCATCTCCCTTCAAAGCACGGGACCATCCAGGGCAGCCCACATACTGCCTGTGGCAGCACTGGGGGCTGGATGATAGGGCTCCCACAAGCCACATCTTCGACACTGCTGGTCTGTAACGTGCAAATCTACTGCCTTCCGCTCGACTTCAGGCTAACACTGCTAACCCTGGCTGCTTTGGGCAGCGTTTCTCAAGCTGTGGGTCACAAGAATATTCCAAAGGGTCGAAAGCTGTGGCAGGGCAGAGGGGTGAGGGGAAGGGAGTAGGGGAGAGGTATGTGGCCAGGCTGGTGGCACTGGGGTCAGCGCTATGCTCCCAGGGGCAGGGCAGCCAGGAGATTCTGCTCAGGAGGGTGGGAAGGGCCATGATCAAGTTGTCTGGTGTGTCATGGCAGCCCCAGCCCAGGGTTGGGGGGTGCCACAGGCCTCTCCCCCTTCCCCTCCCTCCAACCCATGCTGGAGCCAGACTCCCTTTGCTGCCGCCCCCATGAGCTGGAGCCACTGCAGCAACGGTGCTCCGGTCCAAGCGGGACAGGGGCAGCTGGGGGCCCTGGGTCGGGAGTGAGGGACACCAGCATAGCCCATGGGGGGAGGGAGGGGATAGGGGTCAGGCACTGGCAGGGCTAGAGGAGTGTGGGTCAGGACGGCCACGGACCTTCGCAAATGGATCCTGGTACAAAAAGAGTCAAGAACCACAGGAATAAACCTCCTGAGATCCCTTCCAACACTAATTCTCTATGACTCCCTTTCTTTATTTCACAAAGTGCCATTTGCTTTGCTACCTGTAAACCACTTCCTCCTACATTCTGGGGTTTGGAGGAGCGGAAAGGACTGCCCTGTTCTCGCTCGGCTCTTCCTTCCTCTATTGCAGCCCCCCCCCTCACCTCCAACCTGCCTCCTTCCTCCGGGAAGGGAAATCCAAATCTCTAGGCCCATCTAGACGAGGGGAGTCAGAGCCCCACGACCCCCTAGGATTCAACCCAAGGGCTGGGCACGATAGGAAGGCAGCCCCCACCTGCTTGAAGTCGTTGCCAAACGTCTCCAAGGCTTTCCTGCAGTTCATGAAGGAGTAGCCCGTTTTCTTCCGGAGCCGCAGCAGGAGCTCTTTATTCGTCGCCAACAGCCGCAGGCCGGCGTGGAACAGCCGGGCCAGCGGCCAGGAGCCCAGCTGCAGGGAGGAGGAGATGAGAGCCAGGGCAGAGGGACTCGGGGCCGGCAAGGCGCGCCACAGCGGGAACGGCCCTTCTGGGGGCCGTCGCAGCCCAGCTCTGCCGGTTGCGGCTGGTCGGGTCCACGCCGGATCCTCTTAGTTCCCAGGGGACACCACGAGGGTCGACGCCCTCCAGTGCGACCCCCCCATCCCTAGCGCAACATCGCTCCATGGCAACCGCCTCCGCGGCAACCACCTCCCAGGGTGCTGCCCGGGGGCTGCAGGACCCCCAAGGCAGCAGGGAGCCTCCCAGGGGTGAAGGGTCAGAGGTCAGGGGGCATGCACGCTGGTGAGCAAGAGAAACCCCCTGGGGAAGGGGACCCAGGAGTCCTGCCCCAGGAGCTGGGGGAGGGGCAGGACTCCTAGGTGTCCTTCCCAGGGCTTTAACGTGCTCGCCAGCGGCCACTGCCACTGCCCTTTCACCCCAGGGGGCCCCGTGTCCTGGCCCTTGGACCTTTCGCCAGGCAGAGCCGGCCGCTGCCCCTCACCTGCCCCGGCCGGGCCCCGAACGCAACCAGCGCCGCCCGCTGCATCCCGAAGCCCCGTCGCCGAGACGCGCACGTTCTGCGTCACGGCGACCGGCTACGGGATCCGGCAGGGGACAAGCCGAGCGTAGGGCGCATGCGCAGGGGGCCGGGTGCTGGGTAGTCAGTCACGACCCCGTCCCGCCCTGCGTTGAGCGGATTGGAGGGCGCGCTGGGGGGCGCCGGCGGCCAATGAAAAAAGGACCAGAGGCCAAGGCACCGTCTCATTGGCTGCTGAAGTGCTTTGGGGCGGGACTCTCCGGCCTACTTTCCCCATAGATTCATTTAACCCTTTGAATCCTGAGAGGCCTAGCAAGGATTTAACCCTTTGAACCCAGGCGTCCTAATCCGC